TTATTATTATGGGTTGCAGATGAAATATCGTCAGTGAAAGTCAACAATGCTAATGCCGTTGATCTATTTTTGCTAAAGTCTTTTTAATTATAACCATGTCTATACCATCACAATCAGTAGATTTTTTTTATTTTTAAAGTTTTCTACAATTGCTACTATTTCTTTTATGGTAATATCAGCTAAGAATATAGAATTAACCACTCTACTTTCTCCTTTCCAGACTTCCTCATATTCTGGGTCGTCATTTTTTCTAATTAAATTTGCTAAAGTAGGTCCAACATTTACAAAAAAGGAATTGAATTCATTTGCTACTTCAGTCCTGTCATCAACAACTTGATTATTCTTAATGAAATAAATAGGCCGATCTGAGGGTGTGTTCTTGTTTCCCAATACTTCTTTAAAAAGATTCCAAATGCCCTTAATATTATTCTTGTTTTCCTGATGGGAGGTTTACAAATACATTGGCTGCTAAAAGCAATCTCCAAGTGTTGTACTTATATCTGACCACAGCGTTATGGACAATTTAGAAGCATAAGGTCACTACAGTATTGCTGCCATTATCTTGAAGCTTCGAGTGCTTTGCTGATGTTTTCCACACAAAACTGCACTCTGGGCTGTCAAATGAATTGTAATATATTCATAGCTTGTCTCTCTTTTACTCTGAGGGATACTGGAAGTAATTCAGAAATACAGAGAAAACAGATTTAGAGCAAATGAAAGGTTTCAAAATAAAGCCTGCAGTCAATGGGACAGCACTGAACGATGATGGGCGCAGTGCAAGAGCGATTCCCAGTAATACAATCAAAAGAGCATAGCCATCCATGTGTAACAGGAAATGTGTTGTATTATATAAACTCTACAGAGATGAAGAATAGTAAAGGAAATGAATGTAACAGTGTAGCTCTCTTCTACTTGCTATAGTTATTGCGGACACGGTGATCACAGAGTTAGAAGGTAGCGATGGTGTGATTAGTGTGATTAGAGTGGTTGTTCTGAGTGGATGGAGTCATGCTCCATCTGATTAAGTTATCTGATTTTCATTGCTTGTTAGGAAGTCAGAATGAGCGATGATGTTATGATTGTATGAATGTTTGGGTCCGTGTTCACCTCTGTGTGAGTTGGTTTTAGAGAAACACAACACTTTGGCCTTTGTATGTGTTTTGCGCCATATGTGATTGCGTGTGTGTTAGATGCTATAGGATTCTTGATTTCTGTTTATCCAATCATGAGTCATCTGCTAATTAATAATTACGTTGATGGTTTAGAAGCTGATTAAAGCCCGCTACACTAATGGAAAATCATTTCCCCAAGTCTACACACTCGCACACACACACACACACATATGCAGACCTCCTTCAGGACCTAATCACTTGTATGTCTCTCTGTGTGATAAGACAAACGTGGGATAGTCTGGATCTCTCTCTAAGCTGTCCTGTGTTGGACTCAACAAACCATAATGCCATGATAACACAGCTGGTGTAACACCCGTTATGTAACGACTGACAATCACTTGCACAGGACAACAAAACACTGTCTGGATATGGATGTTTTGTGTGTCTGTGTATTTGTGCACCGAGTGTTTGTTTGTTTATATTTGCATATTTGTACTTTTGGCCTTTTCATGTAACACAACTCTGTCCTCACACACTCAGACACATACACACACACACACAAACTCAAATATGTATTGATGTTACATAAGGGTGCAGTCTGACATGGCGTGCCAATGGAATCACCAGCTGAGTGACGGACTGGATTTGTCGCTTTGTGAATGGTGCGCACAAACAGACAAAGAGACACATACGCAGAGCTTGTCTGCATTGTGCAACGCTTTTCCTCTGCTGAGGGAGCCACATAAGGTTTAGGCAAAGCGGTGGACTAGCATGCATAGTGGAATAAGTTCCATACTGTGGTTAAAAGGTGTTAATACAGTAGCGTCAGCTGAGGTGACTCCGTCAGTGTGTTTCATTGTCTAAGACTATTAGAATAAACTGGTTATCTTTGTTGGTATTAACAGGTTAAGCCTACATGATAATTACAGTGACAAACAAGTTTTGGTTGGTGAAAGTCAGGAGTGTAGAGTCTGTCGTCCACAGGCTAAAATCTGGCCACCCCTCTGACCACCACACCCAACCAATGGGAAAGCCCACAGGGGGGCTGTGCATATACTCAGAACTGGAGTTACATTCAGTGAGTGGTTTTTTTTCTAGCAGAATTTTTTCACTGATTGATTTTTCTGCCACCATTATACCCACACACTGACACATTTTGACAATGCAGCTATCCTTATCCTTATTATAATCATCATATGAGCTTTTACATATAAAAAACAACAACTTTATCGATTTTCCTAGATTATTTTTGTCAGTTGAGGCTTACATAAAAGCGATAACTTGAAGTAATTGTTTTTAAATCAGGGATTTTAGCCTACTCTTTATAATGTTGCTTCAGTTCATCGAGGTTTGCAGGCATGCATTTATGCCTAGCTCTCTTTAGTTCCTGCTACAGCATTTCAGTCAGTTTGAGGTGTGGACTTTGGCTGGACCATTGCAACACCTTCACTCTTTCCTTTTTCAGCCATTTTCTTGTACAATTGCTGCTTGGGATCGTGTTTGGGATCATTGTCCTGTTGCATGACCCAGTTTTGGCCAAGCTCGGACAGATTGCTCCACATTTCGCTCTAGAATACTTTGGTATATAGAGAAGTTCATGGTCAACTCAGTGACTGCATGATGCCAAGGTCCTGTGGCTGCAAAACAAGCCAAAATCATTCGTTTTCCACCACCATGCTTAGCTGTAGGTATGAGGTGTTTGTGCTGATATGCTGTGTTTGGCTGTGTGCAACAAACAAACATCTCCACTTTGGTTCTGTCTTTCCAGAGGACATTGTTCCAGAAGTCTTTGTGGTTTGTCCTGATGCAGCTTTGTAAACCTAAGCTATGCTGCCATGTTTATCGACACAAGGCGTTCTCCTGGACACCCTTTTAATGAATTTAAACAATTCATATTTGTTCAGTCTTTTTCTAATTGTGCTCTCGTGAGCGTTAACATTTAAGAGTCTAATTGAAGCCTGCAGAGTTGTAAAGAGGCATTCAGTTAACCCCCCCCAGACCAACAAAATGCTAAAACCAAATGACAGGTGGTCACACATGCCAATGACTAATGAAGCAAGTGCATTTGATTCCACTCAATGCCACCCCTAGATAAATAACAGCTTCAGCCAGGCCACCCCTATAATATCGGTCCCTGGTGACTTTGTTACAGGTTGTAGTCTCAATGTGTGCATTTGTTTGGGATCAGAAGCCATTATGTTTTTTTCTTAAATGTCCTTATGTTGATGTGAGCTTTCTAGTGGCAAAGGATAAAGAGGGTTGGTGTCCTTGTTGTAGTGATCTGCAGTGTTTTTCTAAGGCTTTTAAAACTGTCTGAGCTCTCTTTGAAAAGCAGCAAACTTGAGAGATCCTATTTTTGCTTTAGGTATACATTAACATTTGAATAGTGTTCTCCTAAATCAAATAACAGTCCAAAAATATTTAATACAGATATTTTCCTCTTTGTCTTCTTTGACATAGATACAGGTCCTCATACATCCTGACGACAACAGCTGTACCTGTCAGCATGGCCTCAGTGCCTCATTACGCAGGACTTAACCTGCTGTGTCCCAGCCTCCTTGTATCTATGTCTCTCTGAACCTTACTCCAAATTTCTTCTCATGCTGTTATTTATTTTATTTTTTTCTTTTAAAAAAAAATCCTGTGTCCTTTTTTTCCCACTCTACATTTCTCAATATTGTTGTCCAGCAGGCGGATTTCACTCCTCCCACCATACCTATAATCCTCCACACCCCACACTACCCCCTTCTGTTCCCTTGTGGGATCAAGCATCCAGCCAGCTTGACTGACAGTTCCACATGTGGCAGTGAGAGAGGAGGGGGGTGGGGGGTGGCTACAGGGTGGATGAGAGGTAGAGATTAGTAGAGACATAGATGCTGTTGCTGCTCTGCTGCATGTTCATGGTCATGGTGGCCTGTTTGGTTCTCTTGCTTGTTTGATGCTAGTTTAACTTGTTCGTTTGGCAACTTTTGGCGACAGAACAAGAAGCAGAGTTCTTAAATGGACTGGCACGCTGATCGCTGGGCTGTTTGAGAAGTCTAGAGCTAGTGCTAAAGGTGGACGTCAGGGCACTAGATACTCTCTGGAGAGAAAGTGAGAGGAGACGAGGGAACAGGAGTCAGTAGGTTGGAAATGGAAAAAAAAAAGGTGTTCATGTTCTTGCAAAATGACAAAAACGACATCCTGTAGGTATTAGTGAGTTTCCTGCCTTTTGCTTTGCATGTGATTAGAAAATAGGAAATGGAAACCAGTGTCAGTCATCTGCAGCTGCCACAACCCTAGCACAGATCGGTCCAAGCCTCTTCTTTAGAAGGAGACCGGGAAGAAAGAGGAGGCTGATTTTGGGTGCAGAAGAAAGGAATAAACACTTGTTGTAGAGTGCAGAGCGCACATGGGAGTGAAGAGGAGATTGCAGTCGGTGGATTTATACAAAGCAGATGGATCTGGGAAGTTGACTTAATTTAAGAGATTAAATATGGATGACCTACAATAGGATGGTGGTGTAAAGTACTGTGCAGCAGTGTACAATGTTGTACTATTTTACTATTAGAAAAAACGTCTAAAATGTATCGAGTGTTTTGTGGTCCAGTTCTGAATTTTTGTTGAGACACTTTATGGCACAGTGGCAGAGCTTTAGTAAGTTGTCCTATAGCGTGGTTTGCCGTGTAGTACTGTAGTACTGCCCAGTATAAGGGCTGTGCAGTATGTCATGCAGTGTATGCCGTCGCTCCATGGTGGTAATCTGTAGCAGATGTACTCGAAATGCTGTACCAAAACATGAGACGAGTAAGTGCTTATTGCTGCTCTCTGTGTGTTTCTCTTTGTTCTCAGCAAGAGTGCTTTGATATTAAAAGTAATTAATAATAACAGCGACATTCTCTCTTTCAGGCCAACCCCCCTCCAGTGGTGGTCAACACCGACAACGTCGACACCCCCCCATATGTGAGTACGGCTTCAGATATAAGGCTAGACTATAATTATATTTTTTAAATAGTAAGGTTGAATATAAAAAACTTTACATTAAATCATTGTCTTTAGTCCATTAATTTAGTGTTTTTTTCTTGCCAAAAAATGTGCTTCACATGTGCAGTTATTTGAATATTTTGCAAACAATTAACGTGCACGTTAAACCGTATTCGGTTTTAGGTTGAAATCTCACTTTAGAATTACATGAATACAGATGTCGTTTTACCAGCTGCCACAGAAAATCAGTATCTGTGGTTGTTAGATAAGTTTATTATGTAATTACTGTGGAATTAGTCCCTGCTGAACTAAAACTGAAATTAAACACAGGCAGTGAAAGATTTGTGCGCTTGCAGGTTTCACTTATCAGTTCGCTGATATCATTTATGGATGCTTTTCTCCAGTAAGGACTAACCTTTTCTGACACCTTTAGAGACCAGGGTATTCTGGAGCCAAAAATGCACCAGGTGCATTGCTATGTTATAATAAACAGGCTGTGATGCTATGATATTGACACTTGTAATGCTGGTTGTGCTTCACAGTAAATAATCCAATAATTTTAAAGGGTTTCAAAGGAATCTAAGTTTTTCATCATATTCATAGTAAGTTCAATTCCATATAATCAGGCAGCACTCACCACTATGTGAATAGTGTCAGATATTAGTAGTCACAGCGTACATGGTGGCTGATGGATGATCGTGCCCTCTGTTTGAAACGACAGAAATTCACAATCTAAACTAATCTGAGCGCACAGAGGCACAGATTACAGCCAAGGGGATTACATGGGCCACTGGGATGCCGCTCGACCACTGTGTTTACGTGTTTATCAACTATGTGTGTGTGCGTGTCATCTCGCCCACAGCAGCTGTATCTCCTAGTGTCAACTGAGCCGGACTCAAAATATATTGAGATGAGATTTAATTCTGTGCTCTTTACATTCAGTCTTAAAACGCGGATGTTAATGTGATTTATAGTACAGACGGTCCAGGCTGAGCCATGTGATTGGCCCACGGGCAAGCCATCAGGGATGCTCTTAAATATGACATCATAGACGCATCATCGCATTACGGATCTAATCTGCGGGATTCATGCATCAGTCATAAATAATCAAATTCCTAAATTCTCATTTCTTCAGTTCGCATACTTGTTGCAGTCTGTCGTACCTACAATAGGCAGTGTGTTAGTGATCAGATAATCAAGTAACATTTTTAGTTAGAAGTAAACAAACGTTGTCAAGCTCCTATTAATGTTCAGAGATAGCAGGCTTACTTTGGTGTGCTTCAGTGTCTGCTGCACTAAGACGTTTAATCTCTGGTGACTTCTAACTACACAAAATGTAGTTTCTCTTTTTTATGTGAACAAATTTTACCTCATATTTTACTTTTACCTCAAGAACATTTTTACATGACTAAGATTGAGGGGTTTTTTTAAAAAAAAATTTTTTTAAAGTTGTGGTCTGTGTGACATTTAACTTGTGATGTAAAAAAGTGTAGGCGGTCTGCTCTGTTCTTCTTAACATCTAAAGGGTAACTACTGCAAAGATGAGTGTAAAGCCCAGATTTGTACAATAACTTTATGACATATTTTGTATCACAACTTTCTTTCTTTGCAAACATTAATCTTTCAGTAACATTTGAATGCCTGACCTGAAAAAAACTAAAGCAGTCTGAATCCTGAGCTTATTTGATTGATCAATTGATTTTTTTGGCTTGCAGAGTTTTTATGTTTTGAAACACTGGCCATGTTTAATATAAACATCCAGCACTGTAACAGTGACAGAGAATAAGGAAAAGCGAATGTGGATTAAAGAAAGAGTTTACTCTCACAGTTCATTTTCATCTCTCTGTTTTTATCTTTCAAACAGGTCAATGGAACAGAAGCAGACTATGAGTATGAGGAAATCACGTTGGAGCGGGTAAAAACATACAACACACCATCACCATGTGTGGCCTTCACATAAACTCTACATGTACTCAGCTCGACGTACAGTAGTCACAACACGGCAAAAACTAAAATGAAAAAATTATAATAGTTCAACCTTAAAACCTGATAAAGATTCAATGTTTTTTGTCTGTTCTTTTTCTTAACAAATTAAATATGTCACAAAATTAACTAGTTTGACTCTAAAAAATCGAAATCCTTAATAAGGCTGAGAAAACACAATGATTTAAGTCAGCAAACCCATCCCTGTGTTAGCTGCCTTTGTCCCCGGTTATTTTCCTCTACTTCAGCTCGTCATTCTGCTTTTCCTTAACTTAGCCTGATCATTGGTCTGATTCTGTTGGCCCTCTTTCCCTGTCCTCTCTTTCTTTTCCATCCTTCTTCCCTTTCCATGCCCGGCCCCTTCCTCCTTCATTCTCATTACATGCCCCTTCCTCTCATGCCTAAGGCTGTCTCTGCACCTCCCTCTCTCTCGCCCTATTCTCCTGTGACCTGGTTCTGTCTGCTTGACTGGATCTGCTTTAAAGACGCCATGGACGTACACGCAAACACAGGCGCAGACATTATACTAGCCTTGAATCCAGTGACAGAGTGCAAGTGAGAAAGCACCATGCCAGTGATCTACAATATGCCAGCTGGCAATATCTGGAAACATCTGTATCTCTTTTACATGTTGACTTTTTTTCCACTGCAAATTACTTTGGAAAGAGAAAATGATCCATTAACAGAAATAATTATGCTTTAATGTCTTCTTTAGTAGACACACAGATATCCCTACACTTAATCTCTTATTCTTCTTTGAAGTGGAACTAAGGTAAATTTACAGTAACCCCTGTCCAGCTTACAGTTTGGCAGACTGAGAACCCATCATCTAGTCTGCTGACATAGCCTCTTGGGGCAAATGCAGAAATTGAAGAAGTCAATCTTTTTGTGTGTTCAGCACATATACAAATCGATTTTCTGTTTTCATTAGCCGGGTTATTGCCTATAAATGCATATAAATTTTAAAAAGCCAATAAGAAAATGAATTGTTGTTGGTTTATCCGATCATGTTTTAGACCTTCCGTGCAGCTGCTCTTTTGCTTCCGCACAGTTTTGTTGCATGTTTTTTTAAAAGCATTCAACCAAAGCCCGATCAGAGGGAATCTTTTTATATGAACAAATATTTTGGCTATCTGCACTGTACCTTCTGCCTGGGCGCTCTTCCAGAAAGCAAGTTTAGTGAAAAGAGTTTGTTTCAGATTGTCTGGGTTGTCTCTTCCAGAAAGAGAGCTGACTGACACACCGTTTCATTTCCTTATAACATTTTATAATTTTTGCAGCTCGTCTCTGAGCGTCTTGACTTGAAGAAGTTTGACCTTTACAAATATGAAATCCTAAGCAGACGTTACTTTTTTTAAAATATTTAACATCAGCGTGAATTAAAATGAAGGCTCTTGCTTTTAATTTACCTGTTACCTGTTACCTTGGTGATTCCTGGCGTCAGAGTTCGATTGAGGTTGCTGTTAAATCTGTCTTCTGGAACAAGGCTCTGCTGCTTTGATCTGAACTTACTAAACCTGTGTTTAAATCGCTTCAGTGGCTGCTCTGTAAAATAACATTATACTTTTTCCCTCTTCATGGACTCTGAGCCAGAAAATGCAAACAGTGATTCATTCATGAACAAACACACTCGACTTGATTAGCCCTTTGTGGCTTAGAATGAATGCTTTTCTGTTTGTACATTCTTACCAGCTTAACTTTCGCCTTTTTTCTTTTTTATATTTAACATTAAGTTACACGACTCTCATTGCTGCACGACTTCATCTGGTTGAACAACTCCTTGTAAAAGAAAAGGAGGCTGCACTGTGTTGAAGAGCACCAGTACAAATAACCTGTATGCCAAAGAGAGTTCAGCTTCACCTCTTTCTGTGGTAAATGTATGATGATACAGGGATTAAGCTTGCTTGAGGTAATTAGAATAGTAGAATCTAGTTGGGATAGGTCACATATTGTTATGGTTTGCTGTGTGGCAGGCAGGACCCAAACGCAGGACTCATAAATGCAAGGATCAACTAAAAGAGGCAGCTTTATTTTGGCTGTAAGTGATTCTTCAAACAAACAGAAAACAAAACCAAAAATGAGGAACTAGAAATACAAACCAAAATCAAAACACTAACACTGGGAAACAGAGCTAGAAAACTACAAGGAGCACAGCAAAAAAACACACAGCATAGTGAGGGTACAATGCGACAACAGGTGGGGAACAGGTGATAACACAGCTGGGACAAATCAGACCCAACGAGACAAGGGAAGAAAAACCACACAGGGACAGGGACTATCAAAATAAAACAGGAAACACACGACAGGCACAGAGGCACGGACTTGCCGCTGAACAGAGGGAACACGGAGCACAGGGACAGGAGTAACAAACTGCGACATGAGACACGACTGACTGGGGAACAAGAAAATAAACACAAAGACAGAACTAAACCTACACTAAATATGAAGGGCACAGAAAAACTGGAGATCAAAAAACAAAGAAGAACTAGAGCTAGAAATACAGAACCATAAACCAAAAAGACTAGTAATGAGAAACCATGATGAAATCAAAGATTAATAATAACACAGAACACACACATACATTGTGCTCCATCCTTAGTCTGCTATAAAACCTTGGCCACAGCAACTGGACCAGTTGGTTTTCTGTCTTCTGTGTTGGATTACATGATGCTGAACAGAACAGAGCCGGCATAATGTCTACAAAGCTGACATGAACCAAGAAACTGTGGGCTCACTGAATCAACTCAAATTCTGTATGAGGTTTGCCAGTTGGATGTATAGAAGGGCTAAGCCGTCAGCTGATGTCTGTTGACTTTAAGATCACTTGATCTGAAAAGCAGCTGAGCTCAGTGATATTAACTGATTAATTAACATTAATCAGTTAATATCACGGTGCACAGTAATCTTTTAAAACCTGTATTAGTGCTTTTTTAACCTTTAAAACACTCTGTGTATCTGTGTCTATGCATAGGGTAACTCAGGCCTCGGCTTCAGTATCGCTGGAGGGACCGATAACCCCCACATTGGAGATGACCCCTCGATCTTCATCACCAAGATTATACCTGGAGGAGCTGCAGCCCAGAATGGACGACTCAGGTGCAAACACAGACACTGTTGCTTTCATTAGACGTGAGCAAGAATTATTTGATTACATTATGTGCAGGTGCAGCGCTTCTTGGGTGCTACATGCCCGAGCTCAGCTGCTGCCCTCAAAGTTAGAAATTGGACCATCTTAGTCTGAACATTTATCACAAGTGTTTGCAGAAATTGGGCATGCAGAATGGATTACTAGTCCTCTAATAATCCTCCTTTTTCACATTCAAACTGAAGCAATACTGTTCATGTGTGTAGCGTCACACCTGTGGCAGCAGATTTACCTAATTATTGGTGTGGCATTGATCGAGCAGGTAACATTATTGTTCCGGAGTTATTGAACTTAGACAGCAATGCTTTCAGCAGCTGCCAGCAAACTCAGCTAACATTGTGAGAGGCTGCTGTGTGGAGAGCATCTCCAATCACAGTAAATTGGCTGTCTAGCTTTGCAACAGACTTCACCATGAGAGCTTCGGCTTGTTATTATACTAAAGAATAAAGGGATGTGAATCCCTCGCAGTTTGTCTCTTTACCCATACCAAGGTAACTACCTTGGTAAAGCCAGTGGCTCTAGACAATCTTTGAACATGAACAAGAGATGTCTGATTGAACCAAGAACTGTCTATTTTCAGTTTCTGGTATTTGATTGTGTTCAGTCACCCACTCCAATCTCCCCATTTCAGGACGTATGTCTAGTTTAGCTTTAATTCTCGAAAAGAAAGCGACCACTCACTGTCAGCAACTCCATTCCCACTTTGGTCTTAGACTGAGCAGCATAACATTTGTTTTTCCTCCCAGTTCATCTCCCCCATCCAAGTCAGTTGACTTCTTTACTTCATGTATTGTTGCCATGCAGGGTGAATGACTGTATAGTCCGGGTGAATGAGACGGACGTCAGAGAAGTGACCCACAGCGGCGCCGTGGAGGCTCTGAAGGAGGCAGGTGGTCTGGTCAGACTGTGTATACGACGCAGGAGGAGCCTCACCGAGAGAATCCTGGATATCAAACTAGTCAAAGGCCCCAAAGGTGAGACTGCACTAGCATAGCAACAGACTGCCAAGTCTACAATTAGTCCAGCACAGATATATTGCAGTTATTGTTGTTGTGGTACTATAGTCGAACACTTCGTAAAAAAACAGTGTTATGACTTACAAAAAAAGTATCAGATGTTAAGAAAATATTCAAGCGTGTGACCCAGTGACTTATTCTTCCAGGTTTAGGATTTAGTATAGCTGGTGGAGTTGGAAACCAACATGTCCCTGGCGACAACAGCATCTATGTGACCAAAATCATTGAGGGAGGAGCAGCACACAAAGATGGACGTCTACAAATAGGCGACAAGCTTGTTGCTGTATGAAAACACTTCCTTTTTTTTTTACTCTGTTCTCTTTTGTGCAAATTTGATTTAAAAATCTAATTATACACACTAAAGTGCATATGAAGGTTGCACTTCATATTACTGTTAAAAAAGAAGTTACCCTAAAAGGGGTACCATCCCCATGAACTTGAATGGATGAATGGATGGATGGATGGATATTTATCATGTGTGGCGCATGTCTGTAGAAAATAATACCGTTTATGTCATTTATGTTCAGGTAAATGGTTCCTGTTTGGAGGAGGTAACTCACGAGGAGGCAGTGGCCGCCCTAAAGTCGACTCCTGATGTCGTGTACCTGCGTGTGGCCAAACACACCTCCCTGTTTATCAATGACAACTTCCCTCCGCCCGATGTCACTAACTGTGAGTACACAAAAAGAGCTCGACGTTCTGAACGTTGAATTTTTTATATTTTAATTGCACAACATGTATTTGTGAAACCCAGTTTCATCCGTCTGCGTAGACTCTCGCTATTCTTGAGAAGTTCAAAAACAACTTGCAGTCAGACAGCGTGCCGCTGACTGTTGTACACATCGTTGCCACCAAGATGGTGAGGCGATTTAGAGCCAGATGGTGCTGAACAAAAAAAAAAGAAAAGAAAAGAAAAAGAAAGAAAACAGCAAGGAACAAAGCTGAAATTTGTTTGCTTCCCACACATAGAGAGAGCTGCTTTTTACTGAAGCCCTGAACAGTGACTCTTACTCAGAGCTTGTCATGAATCATGAAACTCGACCAGCAACCAATCAAGGAAACAAAGAAAAGTCAAGCAAAGGTGACGTAAACTGTAAACGGGTACATGGAGTTAAATTAGCTTTCACGTAAAATAAAAAGGTACCTACAAAAACCATTATTAACATCTGCATGTCCTCTCTTTACATGCCATCAGATATACTCAGCTAAGATATAATCATATATAATCTTTATTTAATCACGCAGTCTCATTGAGGTTCATATCACATTTTATAAGACACCTAAGAACAAGAAATATTCAGAAAAATGATAATGACACGATACAGACGTAGACTCTTTAAAAAATAAATTACATCAGCTAATAAAGCTCTCCGAGGGGAGAATGGAGCAATCGTTATCACTCGATTTAGATCAGAAGAGAGCTTTATACATGTCAACTGCTCATACGGGAAACAATGAGAACAAAGTTATGAGGATTAGCTTGCAACTTTTATGTCATATCTTGAATATTAATATTAAATGAAAATCAGCTGTCAAGCTGATGCAAGCTCGGTACCTAGTTATAAGAGCTATCTGTATGTTAAAGAAACGGTGCATTTAAAAAAAGCAAGCCAGAAGTGTGAGATCACAGTTTAAAAAAAATATGTAAGTTATTTATTAAATAATAATAAGTAATAAGTAAATATTAAGACTACTATAGAAAGCTGTTTTAGGATAGAGATTATTTGACATCCATGAAATTTTCTGTTAAATATGTGACGTCACTTTAGTCAGTTTGGGATGATAGATTAACTGGATTGGAAATGCACATTACCTAGTTTGATTTACTGGTCTTATAAAAGCAGTTTCTTATGAAAGCAGTTTTAATGATCTTTCACATCTATGTGGTAACATTAAGAATATATTCTATAATAATCACATCTCCCAGACAGTGTTTTTTGTTATATAACGGTCCGATTAAAAGACTGGGTAAATTTGGTTCTCTGGATTCCTGCCACTTGTCATTTCTCCAACAGAGCATATTAACAGAGAACATGTCATTTATCACTGCTGTGAATCTACCATATTAACAGATACTATATATCACGCTGTCTGTCATTTCTCAGGACGTTTCTTGGCTCTGCGGTACTTTTTTCAAAGTACATCATTTAAAAACTGTGTACATAGAAAAAATGTTTTTAAAACAAAGTACATTTCTAAGTGACCCATAAGTGACCTGTATATACTGTGCTTGCTATCTATCTATCTATCTATCTATCTATCTATCTATCTATCTATCTATCTATCTATCTATCTATAGGTAGTTTTCATCCTCTATGTTGGTTGTTCGATTACTTAAATGAAATCACAGGGACTTACTGAAATCACATTTGAATTCATGTCTTATGTGTTACGCAAAAATAAGACAAAGAAATGTCTGTATTTGTTCCCACAGCATATTCCCCACACCAGGATAACCACATCAGCCCCTACATGAGTGGCAGCCAATCTGTAAGCCCTGCCCCGCTGACCACCCCCAGATACTCACCGCTGCCCAGGTCCATTGCAGGAGACGATGATATCACCCGGTGAGATCTCAGTTTATCTTTGTAGCGCACAGAAAGAAATGAAATTTATGTCAAATGAGATAATAATTCAAGATAAAGTTTCTAAAGTTTTAACTGCCTATTAAAACAGACCTGTTGTGATAATTTGGAGCTCCACTGAAGCAGCTTTGGATGATTGAAAGTTGAAAATAATCTTTGGTTAGCTCAGTTCATGCACTGTCTGAAAAAAGTTAGCTCCTCCCCCTTAAAGGCAACTTTTTTCCTACTGGCTGCCCCTTGTAAACAGGTTATGCACTGACCTGTTTAAAAAGGGCAGCCTAAGATATCCACATTAAGAATAACTTCATTATTTCAAGTATTAGATGCTTTCTTATTCACAAGGGTTGCCACATAGGGTCGCTCCTGTGTTTAAATTGGCAGGTTTTCTTAAACACTGGATGCTATTCCTGTTACAATTCCAAGTGTAGCCATGTATCCTCCTGGGAGTGAAGCAGAGGTGTTTTCACCTAAAGTCAAACTACACTATGGAGCCTCTTAAGCAGCTGGGAAATCTCATTAGGCATGAGATATAGAGCAGTCTGAACTGTTGGAATTACTTGTACTTGTGCTGACGTCGTTATTTAAAATATTGCTATTTTTTCTTTCATTGTGAACATGCACCACTAGCAGAATAGCCCCACTTTGAAAACTGATCAGAAGTTAATCACAAATTAATCAACAGTAGATTATCAGTACTGTTAAGCATGGTATGGACATGGCAATAGTTGGCTGTCGAATTCTGCTGTTTCACGAAAGAAGTACATGTTGGTTTACTTGAAGTTATGTTAGATTAAACAACTTCCCAACATTTGCATATTAACATCATATGATGGTTATAAACAGTCTTTGTCAGAGTCACATTTATTCACAGATGTCAACCAAGAAAAAAAAAAAAACGAAAATAATTTGACAAAATGTGAAGAAATTGTTTTTCAGTTTGTTACTGGTTTAGTTTTGCATTTTATAAAATGACAAAATCCACAATCAAAATCTTGTATTTTCAAGCTTCTTTCCTTTGTGCTCTGAGGTCTTTAGTGAGAGCAGCGAAGAATGACCTCAGTTCTTCCCTGCTCTGCCTCTGCATCCGTGTTTGCTCTGTGTGTGTGTGTGTGTGTGTGTGTGTGTGTGTGCGTGTGTGTGTGTGGCAGTGAAAGGCAGATGGCCCTGCAAATTTTGTCTGTCAAGTAAACTCAGGTTACATACGCGTAGAGACACACCACACACACAGATACACCCTGAGTGCTGCTCTACTGTCTTAATCCATTTTAATGGAGGGATTACTGCTTATCACAACCCTCGTCACTCGACTGGCATCACCGTGGTTACCAGAATATGACCTATTTCGTCATAGACCTTTTGGGCCAATCAGTGCGCTTTGATTATAATAAATCTGATAAGCCTCAGACAGACTGCAGAATGGTCATTTTGACGTGTGTCCTTCTCTTTTCTCCAGCTATTTTTCCTCGCTCGCTCTCTGATTAGTCACACAAATAGCAGATCATGGGTTTTAAAAAATGTCCACTGAGTGAGCAAAACTTTTGCACAACAGATGAATTCAGGTTAAGGATCAGATGGAGGGACACGCTGGTTCATTTCTATCTCAGCAGTAATTTCCATACATGCTCGGAGTATCTGCCCGTGCTGACTTTTTTTTCCAAATGTAGCATCTGAAAGGAGGCCAGGATTTGCTGTTGCAATACAAAATTAGTCAACAGCCCACATTTGTGAATGTGTCTGATTCCGAATACACACAAAAGAACTGTTCTGTTTTTAGAAGAGACATGAACCAAGCAGAAGCGCTCTTGTTATCTTGTTTTTACACATGCTGACGGTGTGCGTAAAAACTTTTACCAGTGGTCGACTTTATTTGCTTTTCATCCACTCATCCAGCTGCTTCATCACTCGCTTGTGTTGACTTGGATTCTTTTCTTTCGTCCTTTTTACGAGACGTAGAGGCTAGACCGGCTCTCATTGTTCACGCTGTGCTACAAAGTGCGATGCTGACATCTGCTGGTGAAAACAGAAAGTAATCTTCTTTCCTCCCGCAGAGACTAAACATTTATCACCACAAATTTTTCCACATTCAGAGAACGTCATATAATGAAGTACAACATTATTTCAAAATGTGTGTAGTCACTGACTCATCAAATGTATTCATACATTACAAAACTGATGAACTGGTGTCCTAAACAAGGAGAATACCAATATAAGTTGCCATAATGTGATGTCTTTGTTTGATTTGTGTTTCTGTCAGGGAACCCAGACGGGTGGTGCTGCAGAGGGGATCTACAGGTCTCGGATTTAACATTGTTGGAGGGGAAGATGGAGAAGGGATCTTCATTTCCTTCATTCTTGCTGGAGGTCCAGCTGATCTCTGTGGGGAACTTCGAAAGGGAGACCGCATCCTGTCGGTATGAACTAAGACACCACGCATACAGATCCCTGAGAAATACGACACAGCGTTCGTGAATAACTCCTAATTCTGTTTATATTAATGTTTCACAAGAGATTTGCTTTGTAAGGATGTTGTACCTTAAAAAGTAGAGCCATTGGAATCAGTTCCAGATGCTTATTTGCAGTGATTTGTTAATCTGAAGGTGGAGTTAAGCTTCACATAACTTTTCTTTGTTTTTCGTGCATTACCAGTCAACCGGCGCCCTCCGGTGACTGAGTGCATTCTCGCGATGTGGTGTGTGTCCCGTTAAAATGAAATAGTGGTTTAATTTTCTTCACACAAGATTCACGCTAGATTTAATCCTCAGACTGTTGGGACACTGACAGTCCCTGTAGAATTACTGTTATTTTGAATTATCGTATGCGAGTTCTATCAAAACAAAACCTGCACTTGTGAGTGTTTTCAATTTGCTCGTGTCAGTGCATCTTTAGCTGCTAATTGTGTGTGTCTGTATTCGTAGGTGAATGGGGTGGACCTGTCCAGTGCAACACACGAGCAGGCAGCCGCAGCTCTGAAAAATGCAGGACAGACCGTCACCATAGTAGCCCAGTTCAGACCAGACGGTGAGTGCTGGAGATTCTGCATGTCTATTATTCACATGTTCACTGTAATGTGTGGAATATTTTTCATAAAATATTTGAAAAATACAAATGTTATGTTCTGGCTTGAAGCAGAAGGTGGTACGTCATTTTTTCCAATCTTGATTCTTGATTCTTCATCTTGGTTTTGGTAAAGGCTGAATGTTTGCAGTGATCACAGAATCAGCATGTTGCTGCCCTCTATAGCTACAATTCTACCGACTCTGTGGGAAAACCCAAAAATCTGAATTCAGTATGTGTGGGCAGAATGTATAAAGA